CCTCAACATCCTGCTAGAAATAAAAAGGGTTTAAAATGTCTTCTACTTTACTTCCTTTAAATAATATTAACTTGGGAAATTAGAAAATGATCTGCGGCTGAAGAAACATAATTAAACTTCTGTATAAATGGATGATTTGGTTCATTCTTCCTTTTTTGTCAGCTCATCACAATGAATGGCTAAAATCCTCTTCCTGAAGCTCTGACCGTTTAAAGAGAAAGTGCAGTTTCCTGTCCTGGGGGAAAAAAGTCCTCTGCAGATCTCCTTGAGCGCATTTAAAGTGATTATGCTGAATGTGTTTTGATCCAAATGCCACTAGTTACTCACGACCTGCTGGCCTCCTGCTTTAGCTCAGCTCATTGAGGCTGCATCCAACCGGGCCAGTCACAATCAAACCCAAACCCCGGCTGACTGGCAGCAGTCCTAATCCCTGCTCCACAAACTTCCACAATAAACGTTCATTTATCAGAGAAAATGCACAGCAGGCTGATTTTAGCTGAATTTTTCACGTTTGGTTGAGACGTTACAACACACGCAAAAATATTCTTATCCTGCCAAGTTTACTCAGCGCTCCAAATAGCCCACAAATTGTGCTGCAGTCTTATTGTACACATAAGAGGGATTCACTCTTTTCTGCTACAATTAAACAATCTGCTTGATAAAGAACATCAGAAATTAAGACTTTATTGCGGTGCTGACCCCAGGGATGACCTGGTTTTGTGGTGTTTCAGCATCCATTTCTGTTCACTGCTTTAGCTTAATGGCCTGCAGCACAACCCTTATTTGCTCACTCTTATCACTCATCAGTGTTGGATTCAGCAGTAGCAGACGGCAAACCGTAATAAACCAGCACACACAGTAACACAGTAAACAACTTTCCTGACCTATGGTCTCTCTAGGTGAAGAACGAACGATTTTTTGGGCTAAAATAACGGTGTGTCCTCCGTGTGTTCTATCCCTGTATGTTCCTCTCCACATCTAAACCTGTTCCTTTAGATGAGAAGAAAAAAGGGCAGGTAAAGATTGTCCTACATCATGTCTGTGTGTATGTAGTCTTCTCTTTGAACACATGACTGCAAAACAGGAGAGTAATATGGCACATCATGCGTTGCATGTGAAACACCCTTCATGTGCATGCCTATGCATCGTGAAATATGAACTGTGGGCTGGAAAAACGTGCACGCATCTTTATCAAGAAGGTTTCATCTGTCACATTGTTGTGTAATATGCATATGGGTGACAAGGCTGTATACAGAGGACGATGTTCAAGAAAGTGCTATACAGTGTATAGTGAGTGCAGAGGGCAGTGTGCAACAAGAATAAATATGCTGATCAGGCAAAACATGCCTGATACTGTTTTGGTGCCTCTTTTAATACCAAAACAGCCCTGTCCTCTGAAGATGCACCTTGGTATCTAGCACGATCTAGCCAGATGTTAGTAACAGTGCTGTAAGACGGTAGCATCTGAGAAACCTGGAGGCCACTTCAGAATTGTTGGGCTCCTCAATCCATTGCTGAACCATTTGTGCTTTGTGGCAGAATGCATTATCCTGCTAAAAGAGGGTTTCCATGAAACGGTGTACATGGTCTGCAACAACACTTAGGGAGGTTGTATGTGTCAAAGTAACATCCACATGTAAGGTAGGACCCAGGGTTTCCCAGCAGAACACCTCTGCCGGCTTGCCTTCTTCCCATAATCCATCCTGACTCCAAGTGTTCCCCAGGTAAGCAACACATAGTCACCTGACCAGCCATGTGGTGTAGAAGAAATTCTGATTCATCAGACCAGGCCACGTTCTTCTATTGCTCCATCGTCCAGTTCTCACATGCCCATCAGTGCTTTTTATCATTTCTACTGCCATCACCTTTTATGGTGGTGGACAGGCATCTGCATGGGCACCCTGACTGCTCTGCACCTATGCAGCCTCATACACCACTGTGATGCACTTTGTGTTCTCACACCTTTCTATCAGACCTTTTTGGCTCCCCACATGCATCAATGAGCTTTGGTTGCCCATGACCCTGTTGCTGGTTCACCACCGTACCGTCCTTGGACCACTTTTGACAGCTGCAGAACGGGAACACGGGAACAGAAGAGCTGCTATTTTGGAGATGCTCTGACCGAGTCGCTTAGCCATCGTAATTAGGCCCTTGTCAAATTCGCTCAAATCCTTACACTTACCCATTTTTCCTGCTTCTAACACATCAACTTTGAGGACTGAATGTTCACTCGCTCCGTGATATATCCCACCCACTAACAGGTGCCATGATGAAGAGATAACCATTGTTAATGTTATACGTGATGGGTGTATATCTGAGGTTCATCACCCCAGTGGCATCAGAAGAAAGCTCTTTCTT